TTAATTTTGTTTTAAATGAACATGTCTACTCATATATGTCCTGGTATAAGACAAAATTGTCGATTTTACTAATTACAAAGCAAATTTCTTTTACGAAGATGCTTAAGTCTATAATCAAAATAGCTTAAAACTGGTTATCTGCTGCAGCATAAATTCACCTGAATTAATTTCAATGGTATAAGTCAATCTTCACAAACATCCAAATGTGTGAAAATAAATCCATTTATACGATTCCATAATGTGATATTTACATAAGTTTAAATCCAATTAAATAATAAAGATTTACCCATGCACATTTAGGCATGAGAAAGTTTCGCTAGTTTTAGTGAACTCTAAAGTGTAAATACAAATTTTAAAACAATTTTATTTGCCCAAATTGATCTACAAGAACATAAAAGCAGTAATCTCATCAATATAAAGTAACACTTGATATTTAAGTTCCACATTAATGCAAATGTTTTAGGAAAAGCCTTTTAAACGGAACGAATAAAATCAGCTTTACCAATAAAAAGCAATTTTAATACATATGTAAAACAAGGTAAGATGGGTCATGAAATGAATTACGAATTACAGCCGCGTAAGTCTTTTCCCTAATAGTGGCATATGTGTGAAATCCGTTTCACCAATACACATTCACCTTTACAAACATACATATGGCAACAGTCACTTATCTAGAGTAGAATTTACTTCATTTTTAAATTTTCTTATTGCACTGGATCAAAATTACCATGCGGTGTACTTCTATCCATGAATGCCAGATTTGTAGACATGCAATGATATCACGTTTCATGCTCTACGTCACAACTAAACCGATCAAACTGAAAATTTTCCCACATAAGAAGAAAGTGCTGGATCACTACTGTATACAAACATTAGCGCTTTAAAAAATTCTTTAAACAAATCGTTGCGACTGATTTATATCAGCAAGTTGGATTACCGATTGGTACAATTCATGGTAATAATATGTGGCAGTAATGGAACCTCTGACTTTTGGTATAAAGCAGACGGCAAAGTGCCCCCAACCAAAATTTGTGCTAAATCGTTCTCTAAAATAACGCCATTCTAGGGACCAAGAAGTGCCATTTCAAACAGGCCAAAAATTGCCAAATTTTCCTCTTTTTCCCTTGATATCACACTTATTTTTTAGTTCAAGGGTGCACAAAGCGATGTGCTGGTTTTAAAAGTTCATTACTTTTGAAAAAGGGAATAAATTTTACGTGGGTAGCATTTTAGGGAGATTTTGATCTTCCATACTCAGCTGAGCTATTTCCATAACAGGTTAATCCTCAATTAAATGTCTATGCAAGTACACAAAAATTGTTGCATCCAAAATTTCCCTGCTTAGCATTGTGTGCTAATTCTCCATGACATTTTGTAGTAAAACGCAAAGATGCAATTAAAGCTAAAACTGATTTGTCAAAGTGTTGCGGTAAATGGTCTGCTTAAGAATCATCAATAAATGCAATGCAAAGTCGGCAGATGAGTTTTAAATATGTATTTCGAATAAGAAACAAATTTACAAAATATGAGTAGCATCCAGTAGACATAATAACTTGTCAATAAAGCCAGAAATTTTGCGCAGGAGAATTGATCAATGTAGCAAATTTAAAACGAACACTGACTTTAGATTTGCAGCACTTCTGGTTGTATCTCGTACGCAGGTATGAATATACTAATCAATGTTTAAAACAACTCCATACTACCTTCATTTAGCAGGTTATAAATTAGTCTAAATGGTAATAATCAGGAGACCACGAAAGGCTACTTAAAATGGTTGGAGTTACGGCGTTGCACTCCCCATCAAGAAAGTAGATCTTCCTGCTAATTACAATTTCGCAGAACGTTTTACCCCTAAATGTCACCTTCATGTCTACTACATTAACCCAACCCCCAATTTCGTATTTGGTAAAAACAATTCGGACAAAAAGAAGGGTTGTACAGAGAATGAGGCTGAACAGTAGCACTTTCTAGACTCATCACATCTCCAAGATGGCATAGGGTATGCGAACATGCGCTAGCTCCTAGGAGCGGCGCCTCCTTCTTATTGTCCGATTGACAGGCTCTGACCGCCTGTCACTCCACATGTAGATGTTTT